GACGGGTTCCGGGGCTGCACGGGGCCCAAGCGCGGCCCCGTCCCGGGGGGAGACGCTCGCGTGATGGTGAACATTTGCGTAAGGCTAGAAACACGTTTTCCTCTGAAATAGAGGAAAAGCTTTCCAACTTTGTTTCATTCCGAAGGCTATTCTCTTGTGAAAGAGCAATGAATAGGCAATATTAACTATTTACCCTAACCCGACGTTTTCACCTTAGAGTCCCCTTTTTTTTAACCACACAAGCCAGTGTGTCTAGTGAAGCTGTCACTGAATTCCCTGCTGCAAGCACAAAGCTTCTCATGAAACACTAGAAACAGCACGCAGCTACACCTCCCCAGTGCAAAACCTGCTGGCAAGTCCCAAACGCCTGGCGCAGGGACAGGACGGCCCCAAACCAAGTGACAAGGTAGAGCTCAGAGCAGCCCATCGATGCCGTGATGTGACCAACCTTCCCCGCACACGAGGATCAGGAGGGCGCGATGCAGACGCTGGTGCCTTCTCAAGGGCCACAGCCGCACGCAGGAACCAGATCGTTAGGCGGGTCCAGTATTTGTTTCCTGAGTCAAAATAAAAACAGGAATTACAACATACAGCGAGAGATGCTCCAGCCCACGCAAGAACAACTGCGTGTCAACAAGTATCCTTTCACACCCCACAGCCTTCCTATAGCTGTGAGGTGGGAGGCACCCACAGACGGGGCCTGATCCCAGTTTCATTGACTGCAGTGAGGCAGCTCCAGAGCCTGAATTAGGGTCTGGGGTCTAATCCTGGAAAGCCTCAACTGTCTCAATTGGGAATGTGCCTCTCCCCAAAGACTTTGTAGAACAAGACTTTATCTGCAGTAAAGATACAGTTCTCTTAATGGAATATTCTGCCAGAAGAGAAACCATCACCTATAGCAAACTTTTAGTGAAAAAAGGAGCAAAATTATTATATTCTGAGGTCAGATGTTCAGCAAAAGTAAACGGGGACAAGCTATTATACATCTCTAAATAGAAATTGAAGGTATTTTTAAAAATTGGGTCAATAGCAATTTGCAGTTTTGCCATTAAGCAAGAATATTTATCTTACTGGATAATTTACCCCCCCCAAAAAAAGGCATGTGCTATCACAGCAGGTATCCATAATTCAAAGATTCATATATTGTTGGCAGCTTTGGAACAACTAATAATATTTTATTTCAATTTCAATTTTCAATTTCAAATCTTGGGAGCTTAGTGTATGAACTTTAATACCTGCAATATTCCTCATCTTCAAATATTTTTTTAGAGAGTAAAGTTTATTAGATGTCAGAGGAAGTTGTTTAGCTTCTCTCCTAATTCCAAAATAGTACACTACTACCTTGAGAAATGACAGAGGCTCCGAGGCACTACTGTACAAAAGCAATAAATATTAATAGAAAGGTTACTATAATTACTATCATTGCCTTGTTTGCAAAAAGTATGAGAGCATTGGTCTGTTTTAAAATAATTTTTGTTTTAAAAAGCATTTATTTTTATTTTACTGATGAATAATTAATAAGCAGCAGTTGTGCTGTGCTAAGGATCATATACTGCTTATTTTAATGAGAACACTACTCTGACTTCGATGAAAGGTTAGGAAAACAGCATAAATCATAACTGCTGAT